TGGGGCTGGTGCCACTTCTCTGGGGGGCTCTGGGGACCTGTCACTCCCCCATGGGATCCAGCGAGGGCAAACCCTCCTGGCCACCTCGGGAGCTTGGAGTGGTTTGAGACCCCAAACTTTGAATGGGTTTGTCTCAGCCGCCACCAAAGCAGGCCCCATTCCCGCTGCCGAGAGGCACAAGGCACTTCCCTGCCAAACTGTGCCTCAGTTTCCCCCTCTGCAGATGGGCTCTGGGCAATGCTGAGGTTGCCAAAGGCCGGGCTGATGCCCTGGCCCCTCCAAGGCTTCCACAGAGGTGGCTCAGAGCAGCTAAATTCACCTTGGGGAGAGATGCCCACCCTGGTCCCTGGGGGGGGTTGCCCCAGGGACCCTCAGGGTGCCTGGTGCCCCTGCATGCCCCCGGCTCTGCTCTCGCCTCCAGACACCGAGAAGAGCCCGGACTACTGGAACAAAGGGGCCAGGAGTAGGCTGGAGTCAGCCCTGGCCTTGCAGCCAGCGGCACGGCGGGCCAAAAACATCATCCTCTTCATAGGTGACGGTGAGGCAGCTCGGATCTACAAGGGGCAGCTGGCCGGTGGCTCAGGCGAGGAGAGCGTCTTGGCCATGGAGACCTTTCCCCACGTGGCCCTGGCGAAGGTGAGTGGGGCAGCGCCTGGGGGCAGGCACCCTGCCCCTGCTCAAAACCCCACTGGCCCCCGCTTGCTTCCAGACCTACACCATCGACCGGCAGGTGCCTGACAGTGCTGGCACGGGCACAGCCTACCTCTGTGGGGTGAAGGCCAATGCCAAGACACTGGGGCTGAGCGGGGCGGCCATCTACGGCAAATGCCGCACTGCCTTTGGCAACGAGGTGGACTCCATCCTGCACCGGGCTAGGCTGGCAGGTACAGGGCAGTGGGCATCCCTGTCAGAGAGCCCGGCACAGCATGGCCATCCCCTGCCACGCTGGACAGTCTCCCCGTAAACCCTTGCCCATGCTGCAGGAAAGTCGGTGGGCATCGTGACGACCACACGGGTGCAGCATGCGTCCCCTGGGGCAGCCTATGCCCACTCGGCCAGCCGGAGCTGGTACGCCGATGCCAACATGCCCAAGGAGGCACTGCGGGACGGCTGCAGACATCGCCTCTATCAGCTGGTGCACCAACGTGAGCCGGGGAACGGGTGTGGGAGGGAGGGGACACCGGGGACATTGGGAGGGTCTGGTGAGCTGCAGGGCTGTGGTGGTGCCAGTGGCAGTTCCCCGCTCCCTGGCAGGTGATCCTGGGTGGCGGGCGGATGTACATGACCCCCAAGTGGACCCCAGATCCCGAGTACCCGGAGGACCCAGCTCAGAATGGCACCAGGAAGGACGGCCTGGACTTGATTGCCAAATGGCTGAGTGCCAAGCAGGTACCACGCCGAGGTGAAGGGGACGTGACATCAGGCATGGGGCACGGGCCGTTGGCACTGGCAGTGTTCTTCCTGGCAGGGCGCCCGCTACGTCTGGGACAAGAAGGGCCTGGACGCAGTCAAGGATGACTCCGTGAGCCACCTGATGGGTATGATCATCACTGACTGCGCCACTGGCAACACCTCCTCCACCTCCCCACTCCAGGGGTGCTGGTGAGGGCACAATGCGGCCCGGTGTGGAACCCCCTGCCCCACCCCCCCACGGCTCCGCAGGGCCAACGAC